TTGTAAAAAGTGGTACCACAAAATGTGTACACGCCTAAGTCCGACGGCTTACAAAAGATGCTCGGAGCCTAACTCGCATTGGCTTTGTATGTTCTGCTGTACGGATAAAAATGTAATAATTCAGGAAGCTATGGGCCTATTGGCTTTGGCCTGCAAAAAACGATGGCGGAAGCACTGATAACAAGAGCACTGACGGTGAAGAATGTGTCAGTGTAGTAAGTGCTGCTACTGGACCCGTTAAACAACTGACTGTGGCTGACGGGAACGTGAAATCTCCGTTGACATTAACGAGCAATGAAGTGCCGCTTGATATTGACATCGGTAGTCATACACCTCTAGCCAAAATAGAAAATCCGAATAAAACTGTCACCGTTCTACATAGTCCAGGTGTGGCTGTCCTGAGTGGCGACAAATGGACTTCAGTAAGGAGAAAAAGAAATAGGAAGAAAAAGGCTGTGGGCAAAACGCAGCTGGTCAGCAAGGCATTGGAAGGTATGTTATCAGCAGAAAAACCATCACTGCTTATTAAGACAGATCTCTCTGAGAGATCAGTCATTTTTCATAAGATAAGAGAATCTTCAGATAAAGAACAAAATGCGAGATTTGAACACGATCTCAATCATAACAAGACATCATTAAGTAAACTACTCCCAGATTCAGTTTCAGGAGTCAGTATTTGTAAGCTTTACAGAAAAGGACAAAAGGTGGATTCCGAAAATCCTCAGAAAAACCGCCTCTTGAAGATTACATTTGCCACGGTTGAAGAAAGGAACCTGATTCTAAGTAACTCAAGTAAACTGATCGGATCCGGAATAAACGTCCGTGAGGATCTCAACCTGGTTGATCGTATTAAGAGACGAGCTGCAGAAGTGGAAACAAATGAGCGTCGCCGAAACGAGGAACGAAACCTCGTTCCTAAGGGTTTTCAAATTGTAAAGGTTCTGAGCCAAACGATCCTTAAACCACTCTGGGTGGTAAGGGAAAGTTCTCCACAGACTTAAAGGTATGCTACAAAAATGCTCGCAGCCTACTAAATAAAATGGCGGAGCTCAAGTCAGTGGTGGATAAAGAAAAACCGGATGTTATTGCTGTCTCAGAAACTTGGTTAACGTCAGAAGTATAAGAAAATGAAATTCAGTTGACTGGTTTTTTAAGCAATAGGGCTGATAGATTAAACCGTAGGGAAGGCGGGGTTATCCTGTACACGAAAAGTACCCTGACCATAAGAGTAGTTGAGACAGTGGCACATGTTTCAGGGACATGTGAACTGGTGCGATATAAGCTGAAATGTAGACGGCAGGATATTGAATTAGTTGTAATATATCGCAATTCAGAATGTGTAGCTGATGATTTTCTCCTAAGTAAACTTAAGTCCTGGTGTAACAAGGGTAAAAGTCTTGTAGTAGGCGACTTTAATGCACCGTATGTAAACTGGGTTAACTTAGAAGTAGGATCATCGATAACGTCGTTCGACTGCAAACTGTTAGAAACCTCGATTGGATTAGCTTTATTCCAACACATTAGAAACCCCACAAGATATGACTTAAGAAACTCTTCTTCTCTTTTAGATTTAGTCTTCACCCATGGTGATAACGTTGGTCAGAGGAACTTCCTCCCACCACTAGGGACAAGTGATCATACAGTCGTATTATTCAGATTCATGGCTGAGATTGCCTGTCAAACAGTTGTGCCGGCCCGTCCTAACATATGGAAGGCAGATATGCAGGCAGTTAATTCCGCAGCATCGGCTGAAGACTGGGAAATGGACTCAAGGGCATCAGTACAAAAGGCATGGACCCTTTTCAGGCAGTTATACAATCGGGTAACTCGACCATACATACCCTAGACAGTTCTAAAGAAGAAGGAGCATGGCCATCCTTGGATAGGCCGGGATATTCGACGTTTACTAAGACAAAAGAAGAAATGTTGGGATGTTGCCATCCGCCTTGGCTTAGCAGGTACGATGGTACGCTACAGATTGATAAGAAACGAGTGTATTACAAAAATTCGGAAGTTTAAAGAAAATATGAAATGCAGCTGGCACAATCTGCACTCAAGCAGCCTAAGAGAATATTCTCGTACATAGACTACAGAACAAGGATGCATCATTGGATTCCTAAACTTATTAAAGTAGGAAGTGAGTCTGAAATGATAGAAGAAGATCAGGAAAAAGCAGAGGCTATGGCTGACTATTTCGGGGCAGTTTTCACTCATGAACCCCCTCTAGAGAAAGAACCAGACCCAAATAGAGTCAACAAACCAGCCGCTCATCGTGGACTTCGACCAAAACGATGTGCTTAGGGCTCCTAGCCCCATTAACATGGAGAAGTCAACAGGACCAGATGAACTACACCCCAAAACCTTGAGACATATTGCCCAATATATCGCGACCCCACTGACTGTGATATTCAATATGTCACTTGACCTAGGTGTGTTACCTATGCACTGGAAGGACGCAATCGTCACTTTCATACATAAAACAGGTCCACGACAAGTTCCATCGAATTACAGACCCGTAAGTCTCACCAGTGTTGTAATTAAAATACTGGAAAGAATAATCAAATAGACCTGCTTGAGCATCTGGGCTACCTATTCCTGCCATCTAGATATTTCAACAAGTTATCTATTTTTTGATTGAGATCATGAACCGATTGATGTTAGACCATCACAATTGAAAACCTGGAAGCACTGGACGGCCGTTTCGTCCTATTGTGGGACTCCTCAGCAGTGCGCATCCACGATCCCGCGAGCGGGATTCGAACCCAGGGCCTTCGGTCTCGCGCGCGAACGCTTAACCAACTGGACCTCTGAGCCGGCATCCAATGGTGATAGTTTCTAACATCAACCAATCCACGAAATTGCGCGACCAACTTCCATTGTACTGAGGTAGATACCTGTCTCTACCCGACAAGGATTAGCTCCACTGATCACGGCTTCTCACTAGAACTCCGAGAATTCCCTCACGAAGCTAGTCACTAGTGAGCACATGTTAATTACTAGTATAGGGGTTGTGGAGATTATTAAGTTTTTGATTGAGATCATGAACCGATTAATGTTAGACCATCACAATTGATGTTAGAAACTATCACCATTGGATGCCGGCTCAGTGGTCCAGTTGGTTAAGCGTTCGCGCGCGAGACCGAAGGCCCTGGGTTCGAATCCCGCTCGCGGGATCGTGGATGCGCACTGCTGAGGAGTCCCACAATAGGACGAAACGGCCGTCCAGTGCTTCCAGGTTTTCAATTGTGATGGTCTAACATCAATCGGTTCATGATCTCAATCAAAAACTTAATAATCTCCACAACCCCTATACTAGTTATCTATTTTTGTTTGTTTTAATATATCGTTATGTCTATTAGTCGCATAACCTATTCTGCCGCGTTTCTGAAAAGTGTGCAACCTTTTGTTGTCAAAGTTACAAAAAACTCAATAAGAGACAATGTGGTTTTTGGCAATATACAACGAAAAGAATGCACATTATTCAGATGTTCATTCGGTGGACTGCTTACATCTAACTGGCGATCACTCAATATTTATCTCCAGGACCGACCAAGAAGAGGGAAACGGAAACTTGTTGAAATACTTTGCGCTGAGAATTCTATATTGTACCAAAAATATAATATTGAATAAAGCTGATAATAATAATAACGGCATTTATGGAAACCAGTAACTTGCTGAACATGGCACAACATGGTGTTAGAAAGGTTCTATCCTGTACAACGAACCTCCTTATAGCAAGGGAGCTCTGGATTAATGCACTAGACAACGGAAACTAACTGGATGTTGTCTACATAGATTTCAGTAAGGCTTTTGACAAGGTACCAACTAATAGACTGCTATTGAAGTTGGCAAACCTTGGTATTGCCGGACCTCATTTAAAATGGATTAAGGATTTCCTAGTAGGTCGTAGGCAAAAAGTAAGAATAAATTCCAAGTGCTCTATCTGGAGACCAGTACTTAGTGGAGTACCCCAAGGTTCCGTCCTAGGTCCTTTACTTTTTATAATGTACGTTTATGGTCTCCCAAGTACAGTAAAGTCCCCAATGTTATTATACGCTGATGACGAAAAATCTGGCGAGTAGTAACTGAAGACAAAGACGCATGTGCTCTTCAGGTAGATTTAAATAACATTATAAACTGATCTAAAGAGTAACTGATGCCTATTAACGCGGAAAAGTGTGTCTACATGCACTTGGGGGATTCAAAGGTTAATACGCACAACATAGGGGATGTGTCATTACCCGTAGTCCGGTCTCATAAGGATTTAGGGGTGACAGTGAGTAATGATTTTAAGACGACGGCTTATTGCCGGGAGGTCACAGCCAAGGGGTTTCGAACCCTCTGGGCTTTAAAAAGGACATTCACTAAGTTAGATACTACCATGTTCACCACAGTATACACATCCTTAGTGAGAACTAAGCTAGAGAACTGTGTTCAGGCTGCAAGCCTCTGATTAAGAGGTGACTCGGACATACTAGAAAAAGTACAGAGGGCAGCTACCCGTGCAATTCCAGAACTCCGGGGCTTATCGTACAAAGAGCGGCTTGAAAAACTGGACCTTTTTACTCTGTCCTATTGCAGACTAATGGGAGATCTATTTTGATGTGCAGAATACTGAGAAAGGATTTCGGACCTGACTTATTCTCTCTCTTTCTTCCCACTAGATCGGGGCACTTTAGAGGACATATCGGACGAGTAGAAAAGCCAAGAAGGAACAAAATACCCATGGCATACAGGTTTTCACACCGAGTCATTAATACTTGGAACCTACTCCCTGGAGCACTGGTGTCCGCACCTTCAATTGACACTTTCAAGGGAAGACTGGACACTCACAGAAGCGTACTAGAAAAGGAATGACATAGGCCGTAGGCCTTCTGTCCTTACTACACAAATCTGAATCTAATTCTTCACAAAGAAGCTCTGACAATTGGGCATTGAAAACTCGAAGAGGGTGGTTTATAATTGCAAGGCCACTATAATCTTTTGGGTGGTTTTCGCGAATGGTTGGCAATGGTTGGTTGTTTCTGTTTCTTCATTAACTTCTCTGGCTTATTTTCAGCATCAGGCATAAATTAAAAAAAATGTTTTCATATTGTAGTGACAATCAGAGGTTTATTCCGGGAGAATTCGTGTACTTCAAGTTGTATCCAATACACCAATCTTTTTGAATTTAAGAATCAAGAAACTGTTGGTTCAGAATATAACGTTTGTTTTCACTCACTCTCAAATTTCTGTCTCGTTTTTTAGCTAATCGTAGACTTGGTTACACAATTTTGAAACACTTTTGACAATGACATCTGAACATTAAAAACATGAAAACTAGTCTCTCATTATTTTATATGCGACTGTACAGCTAGGTAATGAATCTGTTTTGAGGACACTGCAGTAGAATTATTGTTCACAATATTTCAATAAGACTTACGAAATGCCCGAACTATTCATCTCAACGTTGCCATGTATCATGCTAGCGAAAAATAAGTCGAGCAAATAATAGTTGAGGTCGTACTTCTTCAAGAATAGTTTTTCCGACAATATTTACCACTAAAATGCCAATGGTTGTGGTGGAATATTTTAGCTGTGACTAGTAACACTATATAGAGTTAAGACTGCTTCTCGGTCTGCAAAGTGATTAGCTTCTCCAAAATACCTATAATTCAAAAATCTCATCACTTCTGTTAACATCGCAGTGTTTCAATGAATTAAAAGTTTGTCACAGTAGTATGTAGCACTTCACTTTTAGATTCACCCATTGAGTAGTGTTAAGTGTACACAGTATCTGCTTAAGATGGCTAATCTGTTAATAGAGATTGAGGCCCTGACCCTTTTATTTGTTGATGTAAAGTTCAGTAAATCGAACTAATACACATCTATGACCAACCAGCTGACTCATGGATTACAAATTGAAGGGCCAGAATGAACATTACTGTTATCATATCACTTCAATGGCTATGGAGATAGTTACTTTATAAATTTATAACCTCAGTCGGTAATTAATTTAACTGATTGTGGAATTCCAGATATATATTTGAATCTAAGCCACATCCATGGGTCAGTAGTACTACTTGGCTTCCCGTATAAAATGGGCGGAGCGACATACGAGCCCGTGGCTTTATGGTTGGGAATCAAACCCTCTTACCACTAAGCTATTTATCCAAATTTTGTGGTGTTAGTTTATTACGGGTAACCCGAGACTAGATAAGTGTGCGTTAATCAAAGTTACCGCACCTTACATCAACACAGTGAGAGGAAATTTATGGAATGAAAAAAGATTGTGTAATTTTTGTGTTTTCTCGTTTACAAAAGACACTTCAGTCTATTAATCACACGTGTACAACTAAGCGGCACGACTAGACAATCTTTTGAATAATGTATTAGAAACTAACCAACGATTCAGCTAATAAATTCTCACTGACCCACCATCCTTGTCAGTCATCAGTTTTCGACATTAGTCCATAGAAATAGGAATGACGTTGTATGCTATGGTCCTTTCCAATGTTTGATTACTGACCAGAAGAGCTTCTAATTTCAGTACTGTATCCATGCTCGGTGCAGCGTTATCTGTCTATGGTGTTATTTCGTATACCAAAGATTAAACGCATTTAGCCATATCATTAGTCTATTTCCTAGTGAGTCGTTTCTTGTTAGGTTTCTCTCAATTTCTTTCTAATTCCGGAAAAAAGTAATCCCATCGCTGAATACGTCTATCTTTACTAATCTTTTCATTCATTAGTAAATCATTTCGATCACTGTACCTTTCATTTTATTGTTTAACATTTCAGAAATTTTATTGTTTTATAAAATACCACCATGTTTTCTTTTCGCGTACAGATTTTAATGAAATTCCCTTACGTTTAACAATAGCTTACCATGGTGCTCACCAAAATAATATCACCAGTTGCAGTTTTTCTAATTGCGGTCGATTCTTCGCCTTTGTTGATCAGCCACAGATTGTCTTGGGTTACTGTGTAAATGACATACTGTAAGTTTTTCTGGCTCATATATATATATGGTTTAACTATCCCCTGGTTGAATATTTCTTTTCTTGTATATAGACTCTGTATTAAGACTGTTTTCGTGAGTTCCTTTTGTGCAAACTTCCAGATCCTTTATAACAATAATGCTCGTGTAAATTTCAGCGAAAATATTTGTTAATTTTAAGTAGTCACTGTTGCTAAGTAGTATTATAAACGTGTTGTTTCGAAAACTTAAAGAATACTTTCCCTTGGATGATTCACCTTTTTAGTTCAATCCGTTGGTTAGTTTTATCATTCACTATCATACAAACGGGGTGACTCAAAGCTAAATACATAAACTATTTGGTACAGAATTTACACAATTGCATTCAAAATCTACTTGTAGCTATGTAATATCACCATTGTAAACTTACATTCAACATCATATGGTGAAGTAATTAGACATTTTATGAAAGTTGTTTTATCAATAAATACAAAGATAGATGGAGATTCAATAATGCATATACACCGTTCTTTTAGTTCCTATAACTATCGTTAGTTTAATTCGCTACATTAACTCACACTATCCTACGTCGCCCATCGGTTTAATGATTCAAGCAGCTACTGTAAAATGTTTGACTAAAAATTTTAGAATGTACTTTCTAAAACTATTCAATATCAGTTGTAGAACAAGCGAAGACTAGGAGGCACACAACTGTTTTATCCTACTTATAAGACATTACTTCATACAGTATCGAATTTTCCAGTCACCTTCAGTGTGCCCTTAAATCTTCAGTTTTTCAGTTAGTGTTAATTGATGGCGAATATTACTTTTGAATTTGATAAAACTCCTTACTAAACTACCTGAATAAAATATTCAAAGACTTGAATGGGATTCTGCATTATTTGTGCATTAACTTATGTTACAGACTTTCCTCATTCTTCTGGTGAATATTAACAACAATAATAAACCACTAAGTTTATTTTTTGCATCATAGACTGACCTTAATTATACCTGTGCAGTTCTTTCTCGTATCTGTTTACTATCTAACTGATGTCAATCCGTTATGTAAACTTTAGATTTTGATAATCTCCACAAACCCTCCATAATAACAAGCTTGACGGTTTATTATTTTGTGCTACTCTACATAGATCAACGTGCTTGGATGAAAATAATTTCAAACCATCTTTATCATCTCATTGTCAAACATCTAGTTTATTGTCAGATGAAATTATTAACAATACAGAATCATTAAATTTATATGCAAATCTTACAGATAGTAGTAATAACTGGAAAATATTAACATCAGAACTGTTACATGGTGATGCACTACCTGTAAATATGAAACCAATATTTCGTATAAAAACTAACGGAGATGTGATTAGTATGACTTTTGCCTCTGGGGATAGTGCATTTTGTCGATTGCCCCACCGTGCAAATAAGCGTAGATCGTCTATTGTTCGTGAATCACAAGTCTCATTATTACTGTTGGGTTTAGCTTCTGGTGTCATTGAAGTTTATAATGTATTTAGTCTAGTATCAAGTTCTCCACGTAAGTCTTGTTTTTGTTCTTTAGTATGCTAATTTGACTTACATATTCTAACTGTCTCCTCAATAAATATGATGGTTTCATTTCATATATCCTAGTATATTTCGTACTACATACTATTTGACTTCGTAATAGAGGAGTTCTCTGTAATTTCTTGTTATGTCTGAGTCGCTTATTACTTATTCGTGGAACGAGGAACCACTACAATTTCCATGACTCAAAGCAAGAACATGAAAGACTGGTATAAGTTGAGGTTTGTTCACACCGAAAACAAAACTACGACTCTAGTCGAAAATGCACTCATTTATACATATTTGATCATCAATCAGTAAACAGTCACATATATAAAATTATAGCTAAATCGCATGCGGCATTTCATGCTGAATAGTTCACGTTAATTTTATCCAGAGAATATCATATCCTAAATAAATATTACACTGAAGTAGATTAACGTTAAACTAAATAGAATAGCGCACTGCATAATCATCATATAGAATTAAAATAACGAAAGTAATGTTTAATAAGAATCACGATGAGTTGAAGATATTATTTTGCCTTTTTGTCCTGTTATGTCATCTTTCAGTTGACTTCAACCAATTCAGTATGTTGTGTTCACTTTTATGTACTGATATCTGTAAAAGATTGTAAATTTACTTTTACCTTGGTCGTATGTATATACCTCGAAGAGAATTGAACACTGAAAAACTGTTATTCATCTTCTAGGTGCCAAATTTATTGTATTTTAGTTTCTAAATGAGTAAAAGACTTATTCACTTTTAATAATTACTTCACCCACTTATTCCTTGTTATACATTTGGGTATCGTGTATTTAGTTTGATTATAAAGCTATATAGAGTCCCATAGAAACGAAGAAGAAAAAGTGCTTCGCTGTACTGCTTTCGTTTAACAGAACAACCGACTAAGTAGTTCTGAGATTAATATCAATGTTCAAGCTAAGACTGTAAACTTTGGTCAACTGAGTTAGGGTTAGACTTAAACAACACATCCCAGTTACTACATTCCAGACGTGCAGTAGTCGTGTGTAATAAGTTTGAAGAAAGCTAAAGGCAGCTAAAAGAAGACTGCATAATATCAGTTCGTGAAAGTATTTTTTGAAAAGTGTAATGTATTTCATAAAAACACATTTTAGAGAAACTTGGTCACAAATTTACTTGTCAAGAAATTTTATATAAAAGCAAATTAAGGTCAAGTAAATGTGTAGTGATAATAGAAGTACAAAATTTTGAAGACACAGTAACCGAATGAACCAGGACGGACCTGAAGATGATGAGAAATCATTCTAAGCACATTAGTATGATAAATATTTTAATAACCAAAACTTAGGAATGCATTTTCGAGAATTTAAAGGCTGTTTTCATGCCAATCTTATGATCGTTCTGATATGGAGAGCGAATCAGAAGCAGCAAAATGCCAATCGTTGGCAACCAGAAGTAACCTAATGGTTAAATGCATTGCATTGGGATCAGTGGGTCAATTTTCTAAGGATAGAGCGGTATATGTGCGAATTAGTATCTGTACATCTCATTCGGTAGCCCAGTACACTTCCTCGATCACTCTCGTTCTTGCTAAAGTAGTTAGTTGGGGGTCAGCGTATAGCACACCGTGTATCAGTACCAAATTTCGGACACCGCTCTTCACCACGCTTCACTTATAATATATCTGACTGCAGAAGAACATGATTGTCTTTCACCTAGGCTTATATTAAAATGAGATTCTAACTGGATCTTAAGCCACGTAAGAAAGTGTTTCAGCTCTTCATTTATGGTAGTGATATTCCACATAAACATCACATCTTTTAGATCAGATTTGTTTTATCACTACACTCTCCATACGTGCTTCGTTGACAATCAATTGATAAGGCTGTGAAGTTTCACCGATCGAAGTGTTAAGGATATGTATTCCGTGTACCCAACTACTACTTTTCTTGGTGCACAATATAATTTGTAGTGAGAGTAGTTTAAAAGAAAGCTAGTCATAGACGATCCGAAACGCTACATCATTTTACGGAATTATTTATAGTTGAAGTGAACTGTGTTAGTAGATCTAGACAATCTGTCCAGGGTCTACACGGTTAATTTTGTTAAATAAATTCTTTTTGACCTCTGTATAGAGATTTGTTGGACAAATTAGTATTTTAGTTTACTATAACTTTTGTTTCTTTTAAAGTTTAGTAACTGTACATATCAACTTTGAGTTCATGTTTTCTGATGTCTTTCTATAGATATCCCCAAGTATGTCTTGACAGATGATTGTACCCTTGTATATCTCCTCTCAGCTGCTGTAGACGGAAGTCTTCGTGTTGGATCCGTACATCGTGGTGGTGAAGTGAGATTATGGGATTTATGGGATGATGGTAATATGTACGGGAAATTACAACATAAATTCACTGTTCCAACAGATCAACCATGCAGTGAAATTCAAGGTGAAGCATGTACATTTGCTTGGCATCCATGCGGCAGACATGTATTCCTAGCTGGTGAAAGAGGCCATGGTGTTGTACTCGATGTAAGATGGTTAACTTTGATTTTCCTGTCGTTCTTTTCAAGTTTAAAAGACAGGCAGAAGTGATGCCACGTGTTGCTAGGGCTATAAGAGTATTTCTCGCTTTCCAATCGCCATACTGTGGATGCATATTTCTTCTTGGGGTATCTACAATGGAAAATGGATTTGTAGTGGTCTCAGCGACCTGGGAAGATGATCACAGAACTCAGGACCGGTCATGCATGACAATTCTATAGCAGGTTTTTGATGTGTTATCTCGACATTTCAAAGTACTTTCCACCGGAAACCAAAATCCATACGGTAAGCTAAGGTGCGACAGTTTTAGGATCGACCGTTTATAACTACTTCCTTCGGTTTTGGGAAGACAGCATTGCTGCAGATGCTGGCTCTCTAAGGGAGACATGCTGCTGCTGTCACACCCTTGTACAGTCAACAGTACGGATGCGCCCACGAGACACGTTGCTTTTAGTCTAACTGTTCTCCAACTGACCTGCTTAGCATTATGGGACCTAAGAGAACAAGCTTAAAAGTTCGCTTCTTTCCGAGACAGATTCTAATAAAATATTTGGAAATAGAACATTTCACAATAAACATATTTATTCCTATTGTTGTACCAAATGAATTTAGTCACTGTTGTAAACTAATTATCAGGTTTCACTTTTTTCATGAAGAAACATGATTTCTCCTTGTGGACATGCAATCAAAAATAAGAAATCGGTAATATCTATTCAATGTGCATATCTATATAGTATTTGTATTTGTATTTTTAACGGTTACACATGTAGCGACAAAAATAAATAACTGGTCAGTCGTTCATCATTCCTTAAACAGTTGATATTTTGTTATTTCTATCTCACTAAAAGCCAACTAAAAATGGACTACACTGATAAAGATGAAGTGTAATAATCTGGAGATGTTACTTTTTGCGTTGATGGTTAACGAATTCGACTAGCAGTCACTAAGTCCCAGATTTGCACATTATCCCACGTAGTTAGTTTGGGTGACTGCACTTAATGTGTGGCTGTTATGTCCCGATAAGAATAATGAATGGTAACTTTGGGATCCATTTATGGACCAATACTATGCGTATATTTTTATCGTATAATCGTTACGTAACTAAACTGTGCATATTCATGTCCCTCTTATTATGTGCTTTATTTTGGCTTATTAACTTTTATTATACGACTTACCATTCTTGAATTATGCCCTGTCTATTAATCACTACCTCCCACATTCACAGTCACATTGGGCTAAATCTTGTACAGATGTTGTTTCCTATTTTATGGTACGATGTGGTCTGTTTGATTAGTATATAAACCCCGTATGTTTGAAATAAATGATTATTATTGCAGAGGCTGAGATCGGTTTTCTGGACTTAACAGGCTGGGCTAGGGGCTAAGCAGGACCAATAAGGACTCTAGACTGCTCGTACGGGTTTTATGCGTCATTGGTCCGATCGATGATTCATTGTTCTCTAATTAGCGGTATCGTTACGTTATACATTAACAGGGCACACAGGTCACAAGTTATAACAGTAGCTCGTAGCCAAGTAAAGAATCTGTGCCTGGTAATGAGTTAATAATAATAGTAGTAATGATAATCCCTTGTGTCCTTCATTTCGAATTCACCATTAATCTCTTCCTCTGTTATCTAATATGTAATTCATTGACGCAGACAATCATGTAAATGTCCATCATCTTTGGTCAGTTTGAGGTTGGTGGCATATTCTGTATATTTTATAACCAGTAATTCAAAGTTATAATTACTGTTTACATGTATGACTTACTCCTAAATACTCATTCTGTTTCACTCTCCTATTACTTTTTGGTGTATTTGTCTCTTTTTCAATTGACTACATTTATTATCCTTGCGTCGGTCATATGATTTTATATGTATACTAAGTGATTATGTGAGCCTGGTACTTAAACGGTACAAAGACGATGGGTGAAATGGCTTGGGGATCTCAAGAGTATGATTTCGGGCGTCTGAGGTTCAATCGCTGAGTCACCATCCGGGCTGTTTAATCATAAATTGAATTCAGAAAGGTCGTCCGTACATACATGATTATGGCAAAACATTTTGGATTGAGTAACGATGTAAAACAATAAGCCATTTAGTAGCTCAGACTTCTAGGCATTACGAGGTATGTTTTGAATTATTAGAAATGGAAGTTAAACAAATGTACTGCCTGCACTTGAAGAGTATTTTAAAAGCAATAAAATTTTGGTATCCTCCAATTCGTGAGATAACGTCTTCCTAATCTCAGCTTGTATATTTATTTGAATAGGCCAGTATGTTTTATTGTAGTGTGCTACTGATGTCGACAGATATAAGTAATATGTATCATTAGTCGAAAGTGAAATGCCTGGAGGCAAAAGGTTAAGAAGATCCAAGAAAAGAGATCGAGAACAAAGAATAATTGGTATGGAAATGAACAATGAAGTCTGAGACTATTGGTTGACGTTTTGTAAATGAACTATTTACTTTATGGTTCTCAGATTTTACTAAGATGTTCTGTAATTTTGTATTCAAATAAATTTGATTGTCCCCACTTATGTTCTCGTTCACTACACTATCACCATCTTTTAACATTTTTTCGATTAGGATTAGATTATCAATCACCTTATAATGATTATCTTAATTTTGCCGGACAAATAATGCAGTTGTGATAGTGAACACGTTGTACCCATTGGAGTGATGGCTTAGAGGTTAGGGCGTTCGATTTGTAGCCTCTAAATCTCACTCACCTTGCTTTCAGCAAGTAGGTACTATCATTAACCCTTACACTCAGAATGTGGCTCATACTGCAGTATCTGGTGAATGAGTTGATGTTATTAATTAACCCATTATTCTTTTATTTGTCAAGGCTGAATCTCCTTTTTCTCGAGTCGCCTACATACGATCTGGTCATTATCATCGAATATCAGTTGCAAAATTTTCAAAAGATGGTAGTTTATTAATTACTGCCTCTTATGATTCATGTTGTGCTGTATGGTCTGTACCGGAATATCAATGCTTACATCGTTTCTGGTAAGTAATTTCCCAAACATATTGATCAACAGTTGGTGTTATGTCTTGTTGTTCGATTCACTTGCAAGTTATTGACTGCTTAACACTCATGAATTTGAAACGCTTGAGTTTCAAAAATACAGGCTGTTAGGAGGGAGGTAAAGATTTAACATATCACGTGGAGTTCCAACGAATAGAAAATATGGAGACGTTTAAACCTAACTCATACTCACACACACAAGAAAGGAACAAAGCCACACTATTCCCTAAAGAGTTTTTTTCACTTTTAGTTCAAGTAATAGCATTACAATGACGTTTGCCGACATATAAGTATTCATTAAAATCTGGACAAAACAATAACAAAGAACATAGCAGAATAAGATGAACTCATTTCGTGAACTTCCATCAGCTGATGATTATTTATAACCAATATACATACTTTATGTCATATCAGTGAAGATTAGTAGAATAACGACAACAGGCATGGAAGTATTATAAAGTGGTAACGTGGAGAAATATTTCCATGTGTTACGTCCTTGATCTGTCTACCCACTTCTGGTGCTGAGGATAACTTGTCTAATCTAGATTAAGACCTTGACGCATTAGGCTGACCGGCTTAACCTTAAGGCTAGTACGCGTGAGTTCGAAGTTGGGTTGAGAGAAGAAAACAATACTATCACCTGACTCGCTGACAAGCACGCGAGTGAGAGAAGACAAGACAACTGGAACACTACTCAATCTATTCCCGATTTCCCGATTTTAGATCGGCTTTAAAAGATACGTGAATAAATAGATGACTAACCCGACCACAACGCACAATAATTAGGAAAACACAATCATATCCAAACCCCGGGAATTAGGGTAGAAAGTATGGTACAAAATAATACGTTTAAATTATACTAGCTTTGGAACGAAAAGGGCTATGACAGTGAATCATATATCAAACTAAGCTTATGATGTGTAGAACAGACTAGGGACAAAAATAAATGTTATTGTTTTACAAGCTTTGAATTAACTGAAATAACGTCCCGAAAATGAGCACCCATTGAAACAACTATTCGTCCATTTTTGTTCAGTTATACGACAGTAATCCACTTAAAACATCACTAATATCTTTGTTTTCTTTTCTGTTCTTTTAGGCATATGGGACGTGAACCCAGTATTCCTCTTCGTGGTGGATCAAATGGTCATCATATATACGGTTTATCTCTGTCCCCAGATGATTTTTACTTTATTACCGTTTGCGAAGATAGGCAAGTAGTTTTCCTTCCAAGAATCCATTCTCTTTGAATCATATTCTCTATACCTAATCTTTCCTATTAATGCTGATACTGTTACTACTTCTATTACTTTTGTATTTGTCTTGATAATTTCATTTCTCAGTAGTGATATGGTGTGGCAAGTTCGACTGATACACATATATGCCAGTTTCTACGTTCCTCGTAACTGCATCAGCCAGTTTGTTAGTGGTTCTATCCTTTTGAATCTATTCGACTGAAGACTAAGAGACTTACAACATGTATGTTAGACCATTAGTTCAATTTACTCGGTAATTTATCAAATCACGGCATAATCAAGTAGAAAAATGGTGCTTCGGAACGAATAGCCTCCTGATTTTCCTCTCCTAACCGTAATTACGACTTTGGCTTGGTAGTAGGGCTTGGTTGTCATAATGACCCAATCGAGCCATATTACCTGAAGCACTCGTTCCTTTAGATCCCACCATACCTGACAAGTTAGTTGAAGAGACTCTTAAAAATAAGAGCAACAAACTCTTTTGAAGACGAGCTCATACCGCACTAGGGTGTAATGGCAGTAAGGTGTTTTCATCCAGACAACTAATATGTACATATATTTTGTTTTCACACAACAAAAGGCGAAAGTTAGAAAAAGCCAGTCCTAACATTACCATACCTTAATTTGTCCCACGAATTGACGTTACAGGTGATAGTCTTAAAAGTACATAGTTCATGCATCTAAAACTATACACAGAAAGGACATATTATGACCACTTTCAACCAGATGTTCCTTGGGTAATGCAATCATACTTCCTGGTCAACAAGACCACTCCTAACCCAATTTTATCTTCATATTTCTTTATAAGAATTATTCTTAAACGGTATGGATGATCAGGAAGTGACAACTCGCCTGATACTTCTAACACTATTCGAAAATTAATACCTATGCTCTATACAGTATATTATATGTGCATACAAATACCTTATGTGTTCAATACTTTTCAATATAAAATTACCATATATAATCCAGTGATTGTTTTTACAGTTCAATATAACAACGGAAATGTACAGTCTTTTATTCATTTCATACACATAGTTCCCTTCATTTATTTGTTTGCTCCCACTCTCCTCCATAGATGTATTCGTTTATGGCCATTGGCTCCTGTCAATTCTCCATTGAAGATCTATTTCGAACTTGCACTCCAAACTCATACTAATCTTAAATTTCGTAGCTTAGCTTTCAGCCCATGTGGTCGTATAGTTGCTGTTACGTAAGTTCTTGTGTGTTTCTTTATAATAAGGACATGTAATTTTGATTCATTACTAAACTGTATATAATCATCATATATGTAGAATTCTAAATCATGAATCTTATCATAATCTACTTCTTCAATATTATATATGTTCATTCAAGTTATTTTGTGATTTTGGCTTACTCAAAAAAGTAAGCATTGATCGGCTTATATCATAAGTACATGACGTACTTTTATGCTTTGAAATAAATTACAATTATTCTGAATTATCAATTGTTAGAAGACGTTTTCCAATACCAGAGGGATATACTTGTTCAATAGATCATGACCATTATTACCTACAATACATTAACAACGATAATAATCACTTACGTGATTAAAAAGAGAAGACATGAAGTTTCATGATCAGTTTAATATTCTAAAAAGTTAAAATTATATTATAACAAGTCCGTTTACTATAAAATAACTATGATATCAGAACATGACAAGCATCAATTACCAGGGGAAACTAACTAATTATGTAATAACCAAAGGTCAGTGCGGTAATATGTATTATAAAGTTTTCGAGAGCCTCTTTACACTTGTCGAAACTTAAATTTATTAACGAAAGTAAAAATGTTAGATAAAATAAGGCTTTCCAAGCATGAATGAATTAAATTTTTAAGTGTTATAACAAAGCAATTTTGTTGTAGACTTGATAGTCAATCATTCGAGAATATAGATGTCATTACCAAGGTTTGATTTGATAATTTCGAATAAATTGAGCATTGGGTTGATTGTTATAAATAAAAATAATATATTTGTAATATCCCAATGAGTAGAAAATTGGATTTTCTGACGTTTGTGACTTACACTAAGTCACGAAACGTCAGAAAATCCAATTTTCTACTCATTGGGATATTACAAATATATTATTTTTATTTACATTCTAGAATAATTTAAACAGTATAACTGAATAATAATTGCTCACAAGCCTGAATTATTAACCCAAGAACAACTTAATAGTTAAGAAATGAGTCGTTTTATATACCAGAATTTCACATTTGATAGGTTGAATTTATCAAAAACGTTTTTAATGCTCAATAAGTGTGTTGTATCCAACGCTCTTGGCTTTATTTCTGTGAATTTAATAACTGAACGCTGTATATCATAGTGTTATTTTCATCAGAGTTTATTTCAATCCCTACTGTACACTAAATTTGTGTTTTTTTATTTGGCATATCAAGGAACCTCTACACTAGACATGTTCATGACAGACATTTTAGGATAACCTTAACTCGCTTAAAATAAAATCTATAACGAAAATTGTAGCCTGATATGTCACACTCATCTATTAAATGAACGAAAAAATGATCGAAACTACTGATAAGAACACACTGAATACGTTACAGATAACCTCAGCTATTTAGGTTTTGTACTATATTCATCCGCCTAGGTATCTAAAGTCATTTGTACTATCAACGTTACATATTACATCCACAGTACATAATCACGATCCTTCGAGTGAAATTCATCAAGTTTTACTGTTGTATTTAAAATGAAAGCAAATATTTGTAGCTTAAGTGGTTTCTTTGTGCTGGTGTTGTGTCGGTTGATATGGATAGGGTTTAATTATCATTCTGAGCAACAACAACATCGTGACCATGAGCGCTTTGTTTATGTAAAAGTGAGCTGCTTTAAAATTATTTCACACAAGCAATAAGTCAATCTGTTCTGATAATCTTGTTTCTGACTCGTCTTCCCAGATTTTGTTATTTTCAGTAAAGGGAGTTTGTGAAGATTGTTGAATTTCAGAATTTACATCACGAAATAATTTAGTTAGAAGACCATTAAAAATTGGGAAGCTCGTGAAAGCTGTTTCGTTCTAGTATGCGGTTCTTCATCTATGTACATCCACTACCTCACCAAGGACGCAACTCGAGACCTCTAGGTATTTTGTTGAGCATTTTGTCTTCAACTTATTGAATTGGCTTCTCCTGGTTAACATGTCTGACTTCAACCAATTTACGATACTGTATTTTCATCTTCCAATGCTATTGGTAGGTGAACACCACTGGCCACTGTTTCTCACTAGAGCTTTTGGAATCACCTCCTTGAATTAATCATTAGTCGGCATATAATTATTAATAATATATATAGACGTTTCTAGAAATTTTTGAATTTTATAGTTTACAATTATTGTAACCTTCTTTATGCCTTAACGTTTCAATTGTGTCTGTTTTGTCTGATTGACCTCTAAATATGTTATTGATAATCAATCTAATTTTTCCGCTTACATTTTGACCTACTTTGAACATAGAAATATTTATTTTATTATAATGTCGTTAGTATTGTCACTATTGTTATAACTATGACAATGTGTTACCATTAATTTTTAACTGTAGAATCCATATCATTGAATCTTAGATTTCCTTGTTTAGTTAAATGCGTGTCGTGCATATGTGTAGTAGTAATAAAGTAACTGGATTTAAAAGAGTAAAGCCTGATTGACAACAGGAAAATATTCTTCGTTTATATATCGTACTTCAGTCTATACAATAGAAATTTTAATCATTTTTTGTCAATAATATGGTGGCTCACCAATTTATTGGCCTATGTCGATTTGACTCCAATTTGAAAAACAAAACGAATGAATATGCCGTGAATATAAATGTATACTACATTTAGGCTAATCCCGTTTTAGTGATGGCGATAATAAGAAGTTGAATACGGACTAAAGTGGATGAGTTCATTTCATGCACTCGTTTAACCAGACAGACATAAAAAAATGAGGAGTGGGAAAGTGAAGCGAAATAGACTGGAGAAAGCAATCGTGCCAACTCTCTTTTTAGCCAGACAAAAATGAGATAAAGACATGTTATGGATAAGTTCAATGATAAACACACGCTCATATAAAAACAATCAACGTTATAAGCGAATAATTGACAAGGTCAAAGTGTGACTCGAAAGCTAGGACAACCAATGTAGGCGTTATGTAGTGCTAGATGCTACACTGATCACATAATCTGACAGAAACTCATTTTATCACAACCACTATGGCTGATATATCAATGACTCTTGGTATATAACCTTGGTTCCTATGTGACCATATAACCATAACACAACAAGAATTCGAGTTGAAAATGAGGGGGATTTAATTCCAATTGATTGACCTAAATGAGTATCACCTTGACTTTGAAACTTCGTTGAGTTCAATTCCTTAGGTGGTGCACACTTTGGAACAATCATAAGCTAAAGAAACAGGTGTTTAGTGCTGTTACGGTCAAGCATATTTTTTTACTTTACAATAAAAACAGATTTACACCGTGATAACACATGAATCGATAACTAATACAATCGCTGTTCCCCTGTTGTTTTATGCCTTATTGAGCCTTATAAATATCAAAAAACAATACTTGACTGGTGACTGCAATATACTGTTATTTACAGTTAAGGGTTGTAGAGATTGTTGAGTTTTATTAGTCATGAACTGACTTAAATTAGACCAACATTGAAAACCTGGAAGCATTGGACAGCCGTTTTATCCTGGTATGATACTCCTCAGCAATGCGCATCCACGATCCCGCACGCGGAATAATTATTTAGCCAGAAACACACACCTCTTTTTAAACCAACTTTATATTATAAATGAATAAGTGATTTATGTTGATTGGTTCAACGACAGAATTGACTGCCCCATAAAATTATTCAGACAATGTAGCATCATGAACCGAGATTTATGGTAGGGAAATTACTGCTTTATCAATTGATATCCTAAAATGTTGACTCTTAACTTCAGTAGTTTTTCATCAAATAATTTCTCATTTACCCTGGTTCTTCAGCTCGTATTGTCCACTTCTATTTGAATTGATCTCTATAAAGCAGCTAAACAAGCCACAGTTTTATTGATAATAAAAAACAAACAAACTAATTTTGATTGTTACTAAACTATTGATGGTTTTTTTTCTCTTCAGTACGAATAATCATGATGTACTTCTATTTACAACACGATCTGAATCAATTCGTCTTGGTACACAATGTCTTCATGCAATCCGAAAATGTGTTGTTGAAAATCTTTTGAAGAAAACTATGCATCGCTCAATTAAACATCAATATCATAATAATGATTTGTCACTAACAACTAGCAATAACAGTTACAATACATTATTTCAAAATTGCATTTCACAAATCCACTTACCATCTCCAGTGAAAAAAGCAATTTTAAGAAATTTTGTAAATTGATATTTAATGTTAGGAAGACAGAAAAAAAAGAGATGGAAATAACAGTGATTGTACTATGGTGATATGTATATGTATGTTGTTTACATGAACTCATTTGTTCCGTTTTTATTTTCTCTTTCCTTTGTTACCCTTGTTTTGTTTTAGTTACCAATTGAAACAATTACTTTTTTTTAAAAAATATTTATTTCGTTTCACTGAATCGAGTAACAATTTTTATTTATAATATAAAAACAATTTAGCATTTCTATGATCTGGACATACCCTACTCTTTGTATCTGTGCTCCTTACCCCTAAAACTATGTAATTGAAATTATGAATGCGCATGTTCTATTATAGCATGTAATATATATATATATATATATATATATATATATATATATATATATATATATATATATATATATATATATATATATATATATATATATATATAGTTTTAATCTTATTAAAATATGATAAGTGTACTTGATTCTGATTGGCTTGAAAATATTGTCATACGATTGACCTTTTGTGTAGGGTGGATGGATAGACTATCAGCAGGTTATCGAGCAACTATTATCGAATAAAATGATTAGAGATTTTTGAATTGTAAAATTTCTTGTTTTAGTTCTGTGTATATACTGTGTGGATCTGACTCATTTATGATTGTATTCTTGATAATTTGATAAAAATAAATATGATTAGAATTGGGATTTGTGAAGATTGTAGTAATTTTAACAGTTGAATTCATGAGTCCATTTAAGTTAGACCACTGTTGAAAGCCTGGGAGCACTAGACGGCTATTCCATCCTAGTATGGGACAGACTACTTGAACAAATACAACATTCTTCATGAAGCCCAACGAGAGTTCAGAATAGACTAGTTTACTTGAGCGAGATAGCTGAACACCCTACTGGGAATAAAACATACCTGTTCATTTAATATCCATCGGTTTCACAAGGTATTCGACACAGTAGCGCACACACATTGTGATGAAGGTTACAACAATGTGCTTTCTGAGTCACTTTTATCCTGGCACCAGAATCCCTTGGAGAACCGAAGATTCCTCAGCAAAGTAAAGATATATCAGGAGCTTCACAGAAAGCCATTTTAGGTCCACTTCTCTTCCTGGTTTTTATTAACGACTTCCTAGATAAGACTAACCCACTGATGCTCACATGCGCCCATTCAGTAGATAGCTTCAAGTGGAGATCATAAACGCTTAGTCGCCCATGAATTACCGTCTCCCTATTGGACTAGTTGTACTTGACACATTGTCACATATCGTCGGCTTATTCGTAACTCGCTTATCATCATCTTTGTACACATTTTTTCCTTACACTTCGTTCTTGTCCGACTGTCTCCATTACTGATCAGTTAGCTTATATATTTATTTAATTATTCTGATCATCGTTTTTTCCACTTTTCTGGATTCGAATGCTTTCCTTTATCATTTTTCGCATTGCAGCCAACCAACCTCCTGCCTAGTAATGTGATAGCTTCTGGTTCCAGAAACCCTACTGCCCTGAGACGTACTCATTCAGATTACAAGATACACAAGCTCACAAATAATTACAGAAATGACCAGACCTAGTGAAGTCAAGTGGCTGGACTACCATCCATTGGACATCATCAAAGATCTGGGACCGTTCCGAAATAACAAGAAACAAGCCCAAAGAAATCAATTGATTTACACAAATAGATTGGATTAGCTTGTAAGATTTCCTCTTCATTATCTTCACCGTGACTTTTCAATTATCTGAGCTGTTTAGTAAGATAGACTTGGATGCTATAGCGTCGTCTACTGCCAATCCCTACTTGGGTTGGATTATGCTGGCATTAGAAATTATGAAAAATAGAAATAGAAACCAATATTTACAGGCGTAATAAACAACAAATACAGCTCCTCCATTGCAATTGGTTTTGAGGCATTACTCTAACTACTGATTGTGATTGTGGTGTGGACCCCAAATAAGTAGTCTACATCTATCAATAGCTCCGTTCCATCCAACGGACAACTTAGCTAGCATCGAGGTAGTGTATGATTAGGCATTAGTAATACATGTTCCGACCACTCCAACCGATGAGGGTTTACATACTCATCAACTAATTTGCTATCTTTACCAAGTACCACGTGTTTAACTTGATACAATTTTATGCTTTGACTTATCTGTCTGTAAAATGGTTACCATTAGATAGTTGCCGAGCAGATGGGTATCAATTATTCGAAATCCCGTTATCATGAAATAACGATCTCCGCTAAATGGTATCAACATTAAGATAACGTAACATCGTTAGAAAATGAAATAAATCTCAATATTTCGGAATCTATTACTGCCCAACGTATTGTACAATGAATGAATTAAACTTTTAAAACTTACCACAATAAAATGTAAATTTGTTAAAACAGTAGTGTTTTAAATATGCTCAATCACAGATAAAGAACATGCTTTTGTGTGATACAATCCATTCTATCCTTCTATAGACATACATTTTCCATATCTAACTATATATACGAATGTACAGCTTAAGTAAATGATTTCGTTGAAAAGAAAAATTTTCTTCGCTGAATTCTCTTTTTCTTATTCAAAGAACATGCTCTTCAGAAACGTCCGTAATTTCAAAGTAATGTATGGTTTTATAAATATTCTCATTTTCTGTACATAAACTAACCTTCATGATAAATCTTCTTTCTATACTTCCTGCTTATTGTTAGGAATTGAAGAGTTGATCATTTCTAAGACCTGATGAGTCAATGTCTTACCGAATTTGTTTACAATTGATTGGTCACTGATCAATGTAATGCATGTCAGGTCTTTCTTAGTGCAGATCGAATCCTATCGACTGAGTTACAATGTGGCTAGTAGTCTAGGTGACTCGACATTGATCAATCAATTATAAATACATCTGTCCTACAGGGAGTCGGTCATGGCCAGGATAACTCAGTGGTAACGTCTCCACCTGTGAAGCTGGGTGACACGGAATCTAATCCATCAGTTCCCTGAAGATTACAGGTACACCTTGCTGAAGAGTGCCACGTAGCATGAAACCTAGGTCCAATGTTTCCTGTTGACAAATTTTTTCCAGAGGAAAATGATGAATTATAAGTTTTCAATAAATGATACTGACTTTTGTCAAGCTACATTTTATTTTAGATTTGACAAAATTTGGAACTAATTTCAATAATATGATCGTGCTTCAATTCTAGATCATGTGAATAAGTTTATCATAAATGGTCATAGAAACATGTAAAACCTGTGATTGATAGTTAATGATGAAAATATGTAATTCTTGACCCTTTAGTTCTAATGAAATGGCACTTAAATTAGGAGTTACTATCTTTATTAAGATAAATGGATTTCTAATATATTCTAGTTTCGTGACATTGCCGAAATATTACCGTTGATGGGTAATTGCCTTAAATTAACTATAAAACCCAACAATCTTTACAAGCCCTTCATATTACCAAGGTATAATTATTTTTTCCTAGGATAAAACCAGTTATCAATAAGGTCACGTAATTTATGTTTATGTCTGATAACTTCTTTAAAACGTAGAATCAAATCATTTCTCCAAACAAATCCAATCGCTTTGATATGAATTACTACTTGATATGTAACAGCGGTGGACTAGTGTTGATTTCTAAATCATATACTTTCCAATAATACTTTGATGTTCAGTATCCCTATATCTGCTTCCAATTAAACCATTTGCTGATTGTTATCGAAATATACATGCCGCCAACTCTCGTCCATGATCATCGACTTAAATCACATCAGGTTCGTTGTCGGGCTCATCACTTTAATGGCCCTATATCTTGACGTCAATTAGATTGTGTGATAATACTATCGACGGGCTCAATACTTTAGTGACTCGATATCTGACTTCAGTTATGTCATATGATGATTGTTGTTGAAATATACAAATTCAAAATTCATTCTCGTATTTGACTTATTTAATTTCGTTATTTATTAGCGCGATGTAAGTCATTAATCATATACGGGAGTTGCCGATATGTATATTTCGACAACAAATCATCATACGATTTAATTGGAGTCAGATATAAGGATACTAAATTCTTGAACCCCACTACAAACCTAACGCAGTCTCTCAAACTACGTTGAAGAACCTTCCGCACTTCGTACCTTCGACGAACAGACCCAACATAGCTTACTCAATCGACAACTCCATCGATTATCTCATCAAACCACCACTAAAGTGGTAAGCCCCACTTCGAACTAAACTCACCCTGCAAATCTATGCAGACGATGAACATCTCGAACTCTACGCATCCGATAAACGAACTAAGGGGCTGACTTAATTGACAAACAACTCAATCTTTAATCAGACGCATTTGGGGGAGCTGGTACGGCAGCGACATGGACATGCTTAAATCATATTATCTTATCGGTACTTTGTTCTCGTGTCAACTCTTCTCACTGATCTGTTTGGCGGATCATTCAGTTACGATTAAGGTAATGATCATATTCTGATTATTACATTATTGTCATATTATCACCTAACGTCAAAGTATTGTTGCTGTTTGTACTGACATTTAATCATGACATTTACCCAATTATATCGCTCACCCATCATATTATGATTTTATGAATATTCCATTCGTATTATGACATTTGAGACTCACTGGACTATTTTTATTATTTAATAACGTAAAATTTTCCTGCTTTCGGTGAGCTAGTTCAATTTTTTCGTGTCATTTTTGTCCTATTATTACACTCATTCACATAGTTGGGATCATGTTTATGTTATCATACCAGATATTTTTCATTTCGGTGTCGTCTCATATTATGTTTGTGGATGCCTTTAACATCACTAAGTGATGAGTAATGAATTATGTTCATCCTATGTATTCGTTCACATGTATAACTGTATGCTCCAAGATTTGTTACCTATAAACATTTGACTACTGCAATAAATATTCTATTCCTATCGCACTGTATATCAGAGCATAGAGTTTAGAACTGGTCTCTCAAGGGTACAGTCTTGTTTATTCTTTTATT